CCTGACTGTGCCACTTCCACTGTGTGACTGTGCATGTGTCTTCACTTCTGTAAGCCTCTGCTTCCTCCTATGTTCAGGAGGAACGGTACCTACCTCGGAGGACTGTGAAGATTGATGGCATGGTCACACACTTAGCACAATGCATTAAAAATTTCTCGCTAACAGTGAACTTTCAGGCACCATCATAAGTGACCATTTTGGGCCACAGGGTTCAAAGGAGGTTCTAAATGCAAAGTGTAGATGTTAGCTTGCTTCTGAGGCTGTTTCTGCCCCCAGCCTCCTCCTCCTTGGCCGGAGGCTGAGGGGACAGAAGGGTGAGACTGGGAAGGGAAAAACATGCAGAGAGTCAAGACACCAGCATCCAGTGCTGCTATTCTCATTCGCTGGCTTATGGCCTCAGGTATTTCCTGATCCTCTTTGGTCATCAGTTTTTTCAACATGAAAATGGACTAGAATCCGATACAACTTGCATTTCTCCCTCCCCAGGCAGGAAAAATTACCCTGTCTCTGTGTGTCCCCAGCCCTTTGAGCATCATTGTGTCCTCACACCAGCCAGTTTTTCAAAAACCAAGATTGCTATTTACGAGCTGTGTGAGTTGGGACAACTTAGTGCTGTCTCTGTGCCTGTTTCCTCTTTTGTAAAATGGGTGTGATACTACTACCTACCCATTAGGGGTTTTGTGAGGATTAAATAAATTAAGGCACGTAAATGTCTTAGAACAGTGCCTGGCACAGAGAAAGTGCTTTTGGGAAGTTAGCTATATCGTTGTGACTTCCACCAAGGCGAGCCTCTGAGAGCCGTCCTTGGCTTCCTGCAACAAGCTTGGCTCAAGTTTCCCTTACCCCAGCCTCTCAGGGCTGCCCTTGGTTGTGCTTATGCGGAGAACTTGGCCCAGCCTTCTGAGCCTAGGAGTGAGAGACCCGGGTCAGAGTCCTGTCAGAAGACTCAGAAGAATGAACAGGTCTTCCAGAGGCCCCTCTCAGACATGGCAGAAGGAAGTGAGAGTGGAGGGTGATCTCTATCTCCCACCCTGACCTTGACTTTCAAACTCTTGGGCACTGGTCTCTAGCCTTGTTCATTCTGCCCTTGATGATTTGCCCCACCCCCACCCCCAGACGCTCACAGGTGGCAACTGCAGACTTCACCATTCTTCCCAGAAGCCTGCAGTGGCTCACCTGGCCCCTCCAGAAAAGAGCCAGAATTCTTATCATGGCCTCAGGCTCTACTGCAGGATCCTAACCTTCCTTGGGTCGCTGACCCCCTTCGTCAATGGGGGGAAGCCTGTGAATCTTTGTCAGAATAACGCTTTTAATGGGATAAAGTAAACACATAGCATTACTAGAAGGGAAGCTAATCAAAGTATAGCTATTGACATACTTTTAGAACAAATTCATTCTATAATAATATATGTTTCTGTATTAACCCATTCTATAACCCATCCTGGTGGCAGGACTGATCGCGGTAGTGTGGAAGTCGTGATGAGTGTAACTGTGGCAATGTGTAGTGATGAAAGTATCTGATGATCTGATGTCTTGTGGTGACAAGATTTCAGGCACTGCGAACACTACCGTGCTTTGTCGCCTACACTCATAATTGAAGGAAATGATAACTGTCAGTATGAGATTACTGAAAATAAACATGTAATTTCCCCATCTTAGTTCAAGGAGCCACTGAATTTATTCGTGGATCTTAATTAAAGTGAATCTGGGATCTTGATTAAAATGCCCTGTGCAGGACCTCAGCTCCTCTCATCTCCCTGCCCACCCTGTTCTAGGCGCACTGGACACCTCATTGTGTTTCAGACATGCTTCTCCTCAGGGCTTTTGTGCTGGCTGTTCCCTCTGCCTGGGACTCTTTTCCTCAGATCCCCATGTGGACCACTCCTTCACCTTTATTAATTAAAAAAAAATGTTTGAGATAAATACACTGACGCTCAAAGACTCTTAAGTGTCTTTTACAAAGTCACACAGCAACTAAATGGTTGTGCAGAGACTCCAACCCGGCCCATTGCAATCACCTCATAAACAAGGGCCTGAGTGAGGAGGGACAGTGCCCGACTCTGAAGCACCAGTGAGCTAATTCCATGCACCCACGGAGAAGATGGTTTGCCCAGGAGTGGCTGATGTCTGCTCGTACTGAGTGGTGACCACCGAAGGCCGGTCCAGCCTCCAGGATGCAGAGATGGCAGATGGCCTTGGTGCCTGCATGCCCTTCCCCTGGACCTGGCTTCCTCCCACGCTCCCCTCCCCCACAGGATGGCACATGGTTCTGGCCTGCAGCTCCGCTAAAGGAGAAAGTCTCCTTGGCCGCCTGCCGGCCTGACCCTGAAGCAGCTCCAAGCAAAACTGTTACATCTCTAATGATAGTCCCCTCCCCAGGGACTACCCCCACCTGGCACCTTCACTAGAGTCCCCGGGCAGGGCCTGGGAGTGGTCCCTGGGAGCAGGTGCATCCCTGCCAGGATGCAAGGCCCACTGTTCGGACCTGTCAAGGGCAGAGGCCTTGGTTTCCATTTCCATCCATTCAGCGGTCCCAGCTTGGCCTGGAGGCTGGATGGCTGGGCAGAGCGCGATGGCCCAGGGCTAAGGATGCCAGGATGGGCCAGAGGAAGGGAATGGGCAGTTCGGCTCTGGCCAAACTCCAGCCTTGATTGTTCTGGGGCTTCTCCAGGGCTCAGGCACTGCCCAGGAGCTCAAATATACACATGCATGCTCACCTACCCATACACACACTCACACGTGCGTATGCACACTCATATCCACACTAATGCACACGCGCTCCCACAGTACTTTAATACTCAGTTACTCAGACAATCATCCATACACACCCACACTCGTGAACACATATGCACACACATGCACTCACACACACACTTGATCATTCACGCAGTTGCTACTCACCTTCAGGCTCACACACCCGTATAGTCACACACCCAGACCCAACAGATGCCGCCCCCGGTGCTCACTCTCTGCCACAACTCCTCCGTCTCTCCTAGAACCAGCCATTCCTCCCACTGTCTCCTGCATGTGGTCTGAATGTAGTGACAGCCGGCAGCAGGGTGCTCCTCAAATGCAGAGTCCAGCCCTTATTCTACTCATGATTAAAAGGAGGCTCAGGAAGGGGCAGGGATGCTGTAAGGTCACATAACAGCATTGCTGTGGCAGAACCAGGGTGACCTCCCAGCCCCGTCTGCAGGGTCTGCTTTTGGCTAATGGAGCAAATGAATCTGGGAATGAGTGTTGGGGGTTTGGGGGCTAATTACCCCTCCCTCCCCACATGGAAAGCAGTGTTCATGTTAGCTGTGAGGGTCAGGCATGAAGTATTCTAGGACGTCAGTCATGATGGTGAGGTATTGTGTATGTGTCTATGTGTGTGTGTGTGTGTGTGTGTGTGTGTGTGTGTGTGGTACTGATAGTAGAACCCATGTATTAACCTCCCGTGCTGGGACTTTATCCATATGATCCCGTCTCAACCTCATGCCAGGCTTGAAGGAGTGGATTACATTCCTCATCTCATAGAGCCTAAGATCAGAGAAGTCAAGTGACTCGTCCAAGGTCACACAGCAAATAAGCAGCAGAGCCAGGCTTTAAGTCCAGATTTGTCTGCTTCTAGAACCTGATCTCATGCAAGCGGCCAAGACACAATATGCCTACAGGGTGCCAGGAACTGTTCTGCAGGGAGTAATGTATCTAATCCTCACGGCAGCCTTCCACAGGAACCACTAGTGGGACTGTCATTGGACAGATGAGGAAACTGAGGCATACAGATGTAAAGCCAAGTCACCCAGCAAGGAGGTGCTAGAGCTGGGATTTGAACTGACAGTCTGACACCGAGTCCAAGGTCAGAACATATCATGCTGATCCTTCTAAGTGCCTAACTCCTGGTATCTGGGAGGGAGGCTGAGGACACCCAGTCCCAGGAGCTACCAACCGAGTGTGGGGGGGGACACTGGTGCTCAAGGAGAACCTCTTTTGCTAGGCTCAGAGCCGCCCTCCCTTTCCCCTGTGCTGGAGCCATTGGTAGAGTCACTTGCCATCTTTTTTCTGGGGAATTTGGACAAATCATCTTTCTGAGTCTCAGTCCACAAGCAGGGGGCAGTTGGACCAGGTGATCTCTAGTTGTCTTCCAGCTCAGAAGTGTTGGGCTGGGTCAGGAGCAGACCCCAGATTGAAGGCTCTCCACTAACTTCTACCAGCTAACATGTTTGTCTGGGGCCCCCTAGAGACATAGGGAAAGACTAAGGAGGGGCAGGCCCAGGACTCCATGAAGGTGCCCACAGGAGTCAGGCCTCACTGCGTCCAGTTTCAGGTCTGCTGCTAAATTGCTGTGTGACTTTGGGTAAGTTACTCGCCCTCTCTGGGCTTTGGTTTTCTCATCAAGAAAAGCAGGGAGATAGTATCAATTCTGACTCTTTTGGGAAGCTATTGCAAACAACAACCAGATGGGAAAGCATCTGGGGGCAATAAAAGGCTCAGCTGATGTTGGCAAATTATTTTCCATGTTGCTTTGTTTCCCAAATAATTTGAGAAATATAGCTATTGATTATGTTGATGATAAGAATTCCTATGAATTTCCTGGCCAGATCTACCCCCTGGAGGCCAGGCTGAGTGTCCAGTCATGATAGTGAAAGCATGACTTGAGTGCCATCTATGTGCCAGACATGGGGATGGTACTACTAATACTTCCATTTTGCAAATAAGGAAACTGAGGCTCAGGAAGTTTAAGGAATCTGCCCAAACACACACAGCAGAGCCAGGAATCCTATCCCAGGCATGTCCAGCTATGAATCCCAGTCCCATAACCATCAGGAAGCACTGTCCTGTGCCCCAAGAGGCGCCAGGGCCCTGGGAGAGTCCACCTGCCCAAGAATGAGCTGGAAGCAACAGTGTCCCCTCCTGTGTGTGACCTCTGACCTCCCTCCCCGCATGCCCCGCCCCCCCGGGCAGAGTGTCCCCCGTGTGTCTTCCCGCCTTCCCTGCTCTGACCCTGGCGCCTGCAGGTGCGGCTGGTGATTGCTGAGAAGGGCCTGGCGTGTGAGGAGCGGGACGTGAGCCTGCCGCAGAGCGAGCACAAGGAGCCGTGGTTCATGCGGCTCAACCTGGGGGAGGAGGTGCCCGTCATCATCCACCGGGACAACATCATCAGTGACTACGACCAGATCATCGACTACGTGGAGCGGACCTTCACGGGAGGTATGGCGGCCACACCCGCCAGGGGCGCAGCCACAGACCCCAGGACCCCCGCAGGACCTTGGGGAGCCTGAGGAAGCCCACCGGGGCTGTGGACAAGGCCCAGTCTCCCCCAAAAGGAACAGCGGGAAGGCAGGCAGGGCTCATATCCCCCTCCACTCCACCCCACCCCCGCCCAGGAACCATGGGCTCACAGTCATGGCCACGATCCTTGGAACGCCACAAACCCTCTCCCCAGTGCTCCCGGGAAAGGGCTGGCCCAGACACGGCCCTAGGCGAAGGGGGCTACAGCCTCCCTCCCCAGGAGCGCTGGAGCCAGAAGCACAGCCACGGGCCCCCGGAGCCCCCAGGCAGGAGCCTGACGGACCCAGGCCCTCCTAGTCACCAGGGGGGGCCCAGGGCTTCTGGGGATGCCAGGGCACAGGCAGGGCCCAGCCCCGTGAATTCCTATAAGCATAGTTCGGGCCATGGACTCCCTGGGAGCCCCATAGACCTGGCCCAGGTACCCCGGAACACTGCAGATGTGAGCAGGGCCCAGACACCCTGGACCGCCACAGGATGCTATGTCCTCTCCCGCCCTCCGGCCTTCCTCAGGTTCAGAAGCCCACTGCCTGCAACAGGTGCTGCAAACCACAGCTGAGAGGCGGTCAGAGCCCAGACATGCTCTGTGGAGAAAGAATACGAATTCGTTGCCAACAATTAAGAGTTAAGGAGAGTTCAGTTTTAAACATCCAGGTTTCTGGCTTCTCTTGAAGCCTGGCCACACTGGGCCTAGACCCCTGGGGCAGCAAGCCCCACCCCTTGGCGGGACTCCAGGGAGGTGAGCTAAGCAGGCAGGACCCAGGGGGAGAGTTTATCTCAAGAGCCTGGGGAAAGGGGTGATCCCTGTGCGCCATGACGATGGGGTTCCAGGACGCCGGGGCTCCAGGACCGGGTGCCAGAGCCCGGCCTGCCCGCATCAGAGGGGGAGGGGGTCGGGGCAGGAGCCGCCGCCCCCCAGCCCAGCCCTGGCTGTGCCCTACAGAGCACGTGGTGGCCCTGATGCCAGAGGCGGGCAGCCCCCAGCACGCGAGGGTGCTGCAGTACCGAGAGCTGCTGGATGCGCTGCCCATGGACGCCTACACGCACGGCTGCATCCTACACCCCGAGCTCACCACGGACTCCATGATCCCCAAGTACGCCACGGCCGAGATCCGCAGTGAGTGCTACGGGTGACCCCTGGACGGAAGCCTCCCCTCCCCCCTCTTCTCCACACTCTGTGTCTCTTACTCCCCCCTCCACTTAGCCCTCCTGGTCTCCCTCTCCCCGTCTCTGCCTCTCTCTCCACCCCTTTCTCTCTGTCTCTGTTCATCTCTCTGGCCCTTGCCCTGGGTGTCTTGTGCTGGGTCCCCTGTCTCTCTCCCTTCCTCCCTCCCGCTTGCCGTCTCTCCACCACTCTCCCTGGCCTTCCGTCTCATTTACCACTTTCAAACCGAAGTGTCTCTTCCTCTCAGCCACGTCATTCCCCTCTCCTCCCCCTCTTCTCGTCCTGCCGTCGCAGACAGAGGCTGTGGGGCTGTCTGCACTCCCAGAGGCCTGTCCTGTCCGTGCAGAGCTGGAGCACCTTTGTACTGGAGGAGTCCGGGCCCCAGCCACCTGGGGTCAGGGCCCCGGGAGGTCAGGACTGTGGCTGGTGACCCAAGGCACTGAGTGACAGGCTTGGTGTCACCAAGGAAGGCTGCCCAGATATGCAGGGCCCCTGGGGGGTCTCTGGTTTCTGATTCAAGCATCGCCCATGTCCTGTCCTAGCTGCTAGTCTGGAAGTGCCATAGCCTGGTTCATCTTTTTGTTTCTAACACTTGGGAAATGGGGGTTAGATTAAATCAGATTATCCACCAACAGCTGTTTACAGACTTTGATCCAAGCCCTGTGCAGACACCTTGGGGTCCTATAGACAGATGAAGTGTGATGACTCTAAGTAGATACTAGGTGCTTAGTTAATGGCCACTTCCTCCCTCTCAAATGAGTGAGCTGTTGTTTAAAAGTAGGAAGGGGCAGGCTGTGGAACTTGATCTTGTCCCGTTAGAGACAAGACCCAGAATCTATCAATATCGTCTTGTCTCCATCAGTCAACATTGATGAGGTCTCCTACGACCCAGGCACTCAGCAGGGTCTGGGGACCGATAGGGACAGGCACAGCTTCTACCATCCCAGGGTCACAGTTCTTTCACAGGGAAGCAGAAAGACAAGTGGCCAGGTAATTGCAGGGTGGGACCAAATACATTTGGACAACTTCTCAGGAGGACAGTCTGGCACTCTATAGCCAACACAAAAGGGCCCACACCATGGGGACTATCCGGCAGTTAGACTAGTATGTGTGCACCAGGAATCACCATGGCAGCATAGGTGGTAATAGCAAGAAGTTAGAAATAACCCAGCTGTGCATAAATTGGGAAGTGGGCAAATAAATTCTAGTATTCCCACATAATAGAATACTGTACAGCTGTTTTAAAAAAATGAGTATAAGGGATACTCCCTAAGATATATTAGTAAATAAAAGAATAAAGTGAAGGACAAAACAAATGCATCTAGTGTGCTATTATCACTATATTTAAAAGGGGGCTAAATGGATACCCAGATGCTTGCAAACACAAAGATACATAAGAAGTTGCCAATAGGGTTTGGTTTCAGGGAGCAGAACTAAGAGACCACAGACTGGGAGGAGAGAGATTGACTTTTCACTGTACATTCTTTACTATTTGAATTTTTAAACAAGTATGCATGTATAACCTGTTCAAAACTTAATTGCTTAAAAAAATATTTAACCTAGAACCAATCAGTGTCATGGTAAAGGAAGCATGGAGGCTATTGTAAGATGCCCATCGCAGCCTCTGGGGGCCTGGAGGGCTTCTGAAATGCAGCAATGTCCAAGGATGACCAGGAGGTAGAAGGGGAGGGAGAACCCTTTCAGGTTCAGAGGTAAGAGAGGTTGTGGTGTGTTCGGAGAACTGAAGGAAGTTCAATGTGGATGAAGTGTAGTCCAAGGCAGGTATGAGTGGCCATGCTGCGAGTCTGGGGAGCAGGTCTGACAGAATTGGAATTTTGTCTAAAGAGCATGGAGAGACAGGGATGCACAGTGACGTGATCTGATGTACATTTTACAAAGTTCCATCAACTGAGTTAGTAGGTCCTGGCTGTCATTCATCTAGGTGAGCAATGATGACGGCCTGGACTGGATGGAGACAGTCCCTAAATGCTTCTAGGGGCTGGAGGCACTTCCTCATTCAGCCCTGAGTCATTTAAAGGAGCCTAGAAGGCAGTGAGGGGTCCAGAGAAGGCCCAGCCTGCTCCACCTTTGAGGAGAGAGAAGAGCTCAGGGCCCGAGCCCAGCTGGAAGAAAAGAGAGATCAAACAGGATGCAGAAGTCATCCTGCAGTGACCCCTCCAATCAGTCCAAGGTCTTTCCTTGGCTTGGGTTGCCCTCCTGGAGTCTAAAGAGAGCTGCGTGTGCAGCTCTGGGTGACTAGCAAGAGAGAAAATGCTATACTTGACCTTCACATTCACAAAATATCAATGAGACTTAATATAGCCCCAAAGCTGGAAGGTCTGGGAGTGTGTTTACTGGGTTTTATATCAGGCCAGGAGATGGGGTGGTGGATAGTGAGACATCAGAGAAGTAGCTGAATACCTGCAGTCACTCACTCACTCATTTTATTCATTCTATTCTATTCTATTCTATTCTATTCTATTCTATTCTATTCTATTCTGTTCTGTTCTGTTCTGTTCTGTTCTGTTCTGTTCTATTCTATTCTATTCTATTCATTCATTCAACACACACTAAGTTCTTGTTCTTTTTTTTTTTAATTTTTTATTTATTTCTAGGAGAGAGAGAGAGAGAGACAGCATGAGCAGGGGAGGGTCAGAGAGAGGGGGAGACACAGACTCTGAAATAGACTCCAGGCTCCGAGCTGGCAGTCAGCACAGAGCCTGACGTGGGGCTCGAACCCACGAACTGTGAGATCATGACCTAAGCAAAAGTCGGATGCTTAACTGACTAAGCCACCCAGGCGCCCCACTAAGTTCTTGTTTGCGAGGCCTGTGTTTTAAGGAAACAGAGATGAATCTAACATAGCCACTGGTATCCAGAAACTCAAATTCTAGTGGGAAACATATACATCCAGAGAGAAGTACATCAAAATCTCCATGGCTAGCAGTACAGGGTATGCACTGCACAAGTCCAGGGGGCACTTTTCACAGAGATTGCAAATGTGAATGGATTGGTACAATGGCATCTCTGATTACTATATTTGCACTTTTTGGCAGAAATCTGTGCAATGGACACTGGAGGACAAAGGCATTGAATGGTCAGACCTCTTAAAGGATCAGGATGGGCTTTTTGGAGGAGGTGATCTTGTGCTGGATCTAGAAGCGGATTTTCAGGAATACAGGAGAAAGCTATTCCAGATGATAGAAGTAGTATGAGCAGAGGCCCAGAGGTTTGGAATGGTCTGGCACATTCAGGCCAAGCATCTGGAGTGACTGAAATGTTACCTCCTGGGGACAGGGACAGCTAGAGTTGGTGAGAAGAGAGAAGAGAGATCCTGCTGGTCTTATAAGACACATTGAAGAGTTTGGAGGTTATCTAAAGGGAGCGAGAGATAGGTTTTAAGCAGGGAATGGCATGGACAAGTGCGTGTTTGAGGAAGACTTCTTTGGCGTAAGTGGGAAGAAGGGCACAGAGTGGAGAGAATGCCAGTGACTGGGGCTGGGTCAGAATCATCCAGTCTGAACTAAGGGAGTCAGAGGGCTGAAAGGGAGATGTTAAGTATGGGAAAGAATAAGAAGGAGGAATCAACAGGACCTGGAACTAATTTGGTGCGGGGAGGAGTAGAAGGAGAAATTGAGGGTAACCCCCAGGCCTCTGGCTTAACTTAGTGTGGAAGAGGGGTGCTGCAGTTAAGGGAGAATGCAGACGAGGAGCAGGGGAGCAGGGAAGGTGGTATCTGTTGGACGAGGTTCAAGGAGCCTAAGGGATGTCTAAGTGGAGTTGGGGTCCAAGAGAAAGGACCAGGAAGGACTGGGGCACCACTGCCCACCTGACCCACCACACCCCAGACTTATTGGACAAGAATTCTGGAGAAGCCCCACCCCAATCACAGAACAGACCCCAGGATCTTATCCTGCTTATCATTTACTAGCATGGGATATTTAGCCTCTCCGACCCCATTTTCTTACTGCAAGAAAGGGTGGGGAAAACATGCACTGAAGCATGAGTCTGTCCAGGTTTATAACCTACCCATTTCTGGCAAGCTCCCACTCATTGCCAAGTAGTCTCCTCAGTTGGGTTTCTTGATGCCTTGTGCCCCAGGCAGGTGGCCCTCTATCCCACAGCATTCTGTTTGCCCTTTATTACAGATTGATCGTACTGTATCCTAGAGAGTCCTTTGTGTGTCTGTCTCTCCCACTAGCCTGAGCTTAGGACAGGATGGCTGGCATCTCATCCATCTCTGTGTTGCAGCCTGCTGTGCCTACTAAGCGTTGGCTGTCCATTTTGCTACTTTCCAGACCAATGTTTGAATGGAAACTACTCGCAAGACTGTGGAAGAAGGGTTGGGGGTGGCACCAGCTATCAGAAAGATGGGACCTTTCTTATTCTCTCCCCAGGACATTTAGCCAATGCCACTACAGACCTCATGAAATTGGACCATGAAGAGGAGCCCCAGCTCTCTGAGCCCTACCTTTCCAAACAGAAGAAGCTCATGGTGAGTGCTTCCAGGCCTGCTCAGTTCCATTCCCCACCATCTTTTCCATGGAAAAGAACAAAGGGAAGAGGCGGGTTCGAAGTAGGGGATCAGCTAATGACATGAAATGAAAACTACACTGGTTTGTTTTTCCATTCTGTCTCCTCTGTCATTTATTGGCTACTTGACCTTGGGCAAGCCACTGTCCCCCTAGAGCCACAGCCTCCTCATGTCTTAGGTTGTGTGTCTAAGAGCAGAGCATAGGACAGAGGTTCTTGGATAACAGTGGCCTTGAGGGAATGTTCTGAGGAGGACCCTGTAAGAGTGAGAGGGATAGGAAAGAGGAAGGGGCCAAGTTCACCTGATCCCACAGGGACCTCTGCAGCATGAGTGGTCCCACAAAGTCAATCCACCCTGAAGCAAGGGGCAAGCCTTTTATACCCCTGTATCAGTCAGTCAGTGGTTACAGATTGCCTGGCAGGGGCTTGAGGGGTGGGAGATAACCACCCAAATATCTCCAGGCAGCTTTTCTTTGGCTGAGAGCAGTTCTCAGGAGAAGGGGCAGCAATGAGTTGTTATCAACCAATCCTTACATCAGTCTGTGTATGAGAGTGCCAGTCCTGTGAAAGAGGTCTGGCCGGGGCAACTGAGCTCAAGGGGCACTGTGAGCACCAGATGAGGGTACTTTGTAACAGTGGGGCACCCTCTACACTGAGGGGGATATTTGGAGGCTGGGTTTCCCAAAGAGCGTTTGGGTCAAGTTCCTTCAATCCCTGGTCACCTCTGGCTCCTGCCGATCCTGTCCTCAGGCCAAGATCCTGGAGCACGATGATGTGAGCTACCTGAAGAAGATCCTCGGGGAGCTGGCCATGGTGCTGGACCAGATAGAGGCGGAGCTGGAGAAGAGGAAGCTGGAGAATGAGGGTGGGTGCCAGCTCTGGGGTAGGTGGGTGCTGGAGACCACCCGGCCCACACCACCCTGTTCAGTTCCAGCCCCTTTATCCCAAAGGCCTCAGAGGACCTCCAAGGTGGTTAGAACCATGGGCCATGGAGTCAGACAGACTTAGGTTTAAGCTAACCACTTGACCACTTAACCACTTAAGTAGTTAAGTGATCATGGATCAGGTACTTCACCTCCCTGGACCTCAGCTTCTCATCTGTAAAATAGGGATGATAATAAGACCTACCAAAGAAAGGTGTTGAGATGTTACATGAAATAATACACGTAGAGTGCTTAGGTCAACACTTAACACACAGTAGATGCTTAATAAAGGTTGACGAAGATGATGATGGTGGTTGTGGTTGGTAGTGATCATGACCCACCACATCATCTTGCCTTCCCCTGCTCAAGGATGCATTATGGCTCTTTCTGAACTTGAGCCTTTCTGTTCTCAAGTGGCTCTCTGGACCCTGCGTGTGCCAGCCTCATTCCCATCTTCACACTTTTGCTCCTGCAGCTCTTGCAGTCAGGAGTACAGTCTCCATGTCACTCTGCTCCTTTCTCCCTTCACATGCTGTCTTTGCCACTGCTCTTCTTCAAATATGATTCTGGATCTTCTCATCTTGCTCTGTTTTAAGCAGCCTGTTAGTCTCGTCTCCTTAGCTGTGCTAATTTAAGGAGCCTATGCAACATGGAGTGCTACACTCACAGCTTCACACGCACACACCATCTATATGGAAAAACTGTGGAACGCAGTGTTGTAACAGATGGGTTTAGGAGTGCCTGGCTGGTTCAGTCGGTAGAGCATGCAACTCTTGATCTCAGGATTCAAGCCCCACATTAGATGTAGAGATTACCTAAAATAACATCTTAAAAAGAAAGAAAAAAAGAGATGGATTTAGAGTCAGGCAGGTTTGAGTTAGGGTTCCAGCTTTGCCTCCTGTACTGTGTGACTTGGACAAGTTGCTTTCCCTATTGGAGCCTCATTTTCTTCATCTGTAGAATGGGATGGTAATAACACAACTTAATGCTATCTTGTTAGACTCTTATAAAAAGTAAAAGCATTCTGCACATTGCCTGGAACATGCTAGTTTAAACATGACAGCTAACAGCATGCGTGTTCTCCACTTGAGAAAACTGAGGCTCAGAGAGATATGTGGACTTGCTCAAGGTCGTGCTGCTCATAAATGGCATGGTTAGGGCAAGAACAGGTTCCATCTTCATGGGTCCAGCGCTCTTCCAGCATCTCACAACTGAGGCAAGCACAAGGTATGCATAGATACCTAGAGTCCTGAATAGGGACATTGCCATGAGTTCTAAAGTCAGGGTCCTAAATCCTCGGTAGAAAAAAGCATGGCAAGACTTAGTAATGAAACTAATATACACACTCAAGAAGGGATTTTCTCCTTTCTGTCCGGGAAGGTGCTTAGGGGAGCCTTTACAGAAGAGTGCTCAGAGGCCAGAAGGCATAGTGTTTCTAAGACTGTCTTTGGGGTCAGACAGAGTCCAAGCTCTGCCATTCTCTCACTGGTCAACCTTAATTCTCAGGCACATCTTATACATTTATCAGTTAATTTGTTTGGCTACCATAACAAATCCCACAGACTGGATGGCTTAAACCGCAGAGACTTATTTTCTCACTTTTGTGGAGTCTGGAAGTCTAAGTTCAAGGTGCTGGCAGGTTTGATTCTTTTGAGGCCTCTCTTGGGCTTACAGAGAGCCACCTTCTTACTGTGTCTTCACATAGGCTTTCCTTACATGCCCCTCATGTCTGTGTGGCAAAATGTCCTCTTCTTATAAGGACACCAGTCAGACTGGTTAGGGCCCACCCTGATGGCATCATTTTAACTTATTTACCCCTTTGAAGGCCCTTTCTCCAAATATAGTCACATTCTGAGATGCTGGGGATTAGGGCTTCAACATATGAATTTTGGAAGGACACCATTCAGCCCATACTGCTTTTATCTTTAACAACACTTACTGTGTGTCGGGCACTATTCTGTTTCACATAGTTCAATTCATTTAATCCCCATAGTAACTCTAGGAGGTAAGTAATATGAGTAACTAAGATGAAGAAACAGGTGAAGAAACTAAGGCATAGAAAAGTTCAGTAACCTTCCCAAGGTCACACAGATAGAAATGGGGGAGCCTAGATACAAACTCTGGCTCCCAGAGTCTGAGTTTTTTAAGCTCTAGCTCTACCACTTCTTCTGTGATAAAATGAAAGCCTATTTACAAGGCTGTTGGATGGCTCAATGAGAAAGTGCATGAAAGGGAATAAATACCTGGCCTGACACACGGTATGGAAATATCCACAAATATTAGCTGCTGGTACGACCGAGGGAGACACAGAATGTGACCTAAAGGGAGGGCAGGGCTGATGGTCCTGGAGAACAGCTGTGGATGCTCATTCCTCACGTGATCCCTAGATTGGAAGCCTCCTGACCCCGGTCTCTGTTTTTGTCCTGAGCTCTTCCAAGAGGAGGCAGCATTGTACTGCTCCATGGCAAGATGACTGGGGCTGTTCCAGATGGGGATGTTGGACAGTCCTGTCCCCCTCCATGGCTGGGGGAGGCAGCAAAGGTCCGGGAGGTGGCTGGGCCCACATGGTCTCTCACTCATTCACCCACTGGGGCATCCCTGGGGGAACGCTCATGCCCTCCACTTGTCCCTTTGAGAGGCAGAGCCCAGGGTTGGGAGACATTATAATGTCACAGCTAAGTCCCCTAGCATGAAGCCAGATGACACTGATGTGGGTTCTTGACCAGCTCCCTCCTAGTTCTGTGACCTTATGGAATTCACTTCACTTCTCTGGGCTTATCTACAAAATGTGGGTAATAATAGAATCTAACTCACAGGGAAGTTGTGAGGGTTCATAAAGATAATGAGTGCTGATCACTCTCTACAGTGCCTAGCCAAAGGCAAAATGTTCTAGAAATAGCAGTTTCAAAAATAATTACTATTACCATTCTTTTCATTCACTTATTGTAATATTTCTTGAACACCTACTGTGTGCCAGTTCCTGGGGATAAAATTGACGTTCTTGCTCTTGTGGAGTTTACCGTCTTATGGAAAAGACAGACCTTAGTCAAATAATCCCATCAGTAAAAACAGAATTGTAAACAGTGGTAAGTGTTACGATTGATAGTGAAAAGAGCAGGGTGAATCTGATAAAGCTTCTCTGAAGAGGTGACATTTCAAATAAGACTGGAAGGATATGGAGAACCTAATAAAGAACCAGGACAGGTGTGTCCCACACTAAGGGGACACCATGGTTGGGGTGGGGGGATAGCTGGGAACTCTCCAGTACCTGGCTACTGTGTGGTGAGTAATGGAGAGAGTGGCATAAGTGAGGTTGGAGAGAGCCAAGATCATGAGCCTATATTTAGAATTGAGGATGAACTCATATTTATATTTGATTTATGTTAGAATTTAGATTTTACAGTATATACAAATCCATCCAATGGGAAATCCTTGGAGGATTTTGAGAAAGGGATTGTATCAGTTAGCTTTTGCTGCATAACAAATAAACTCTAAATCTGAGTGACTTAAAAGAACCTTTTATTTGTTCATGATTTGTGCCTTGGCACTTTGGGCTGGAGTCAGCTGGGATGGCTTGTCTCTGTTCCGCATGCTGGTGGTGGCATCACTCAGGTATTTGTGGCCAGCTGGCAGTCAGTGACCTCCCTGGCATGGCTGGTGGCTGGCTTACTATCAGCAGGGCCAATGGGAGTAAGTGGGCTACATGTTGCTCATTGCCCAGCAGGCTAACCCAGGCTCATTCGTATGGTGGTGACCATAGCATTTCTGAGAGCAGTGAGGGAGCTCAGTGCACAAATACTTTTCCAGCTTCTATTTGTGTGGAATTTACTAGAAGAACTCTGTTGGTTAAAGCAAGTCTCAATTAAAGGGGTGAAGACTCTGCCTCTTGTTGCAGAAGCAGCAAAGCTGCATGCACACGGGAATGAATGGAGGAGAACTGGTGGCTATTGTCACAATCCACCAATGGTGAAGCGTTCTGACTTTAAGGGCACTCTGGTTGCTCAGAATGGATTTCAAGGGAGAGTGAGGGAAGGCTGTCGCAGCAGCCCAGGAGGGATGATATTGGCTTGGACCGAGGAGGTGGCCGGGGAGATCAGGGAGGTGTGGATGGACCTGAGAGTGGAGACAGAATGGACTGGAACTTGCTGAATGGTTGAGTGAGGTAGGGAGAGTAAGGAAAAGGATGACTACTGGGTTTTGGTCTGAGCTACTGAGCGGTGCCATTTCCTGATATGGGCAAGGGAGGTTGTGTGTTCAATTTGGGGGACAGTGAGTTCAAGATACCTTTCAGACACCCAAGAGGGGGTGTCACATAGCCATTAGACATTCTAGTCTGCTTTGTAAAGAGAGGTTGGAATCTGAAGAGAGATTGGTGAGACCCCAGCATATATGTGGTATTTAAAGCCATAGAACTGGGCGATTCATCCAGGGAGACAGCGGAGAGAGACAAGACAGAGGAGTCAAGGGCTGATGTGTCCTTTTGCTGCACAGTAAATTGCCTCCAAATTAGGGGCTAAAACAGCAACAAAACCTGCATTTATGACATCACACATTTTCTGTGGCTCAGGAATTCTGGAGAGGGTAGATTCTCGTTCTCATTTACGGCTGCATGATGCAGGTTGCACTCAAGCTTGGCTGGGGCTGCAGTCATTTGAGCTGGAGAATCCACTTCCAAGATGGCTCAGTCACGTGGTTCTTCTTCTTCTTCTTTAAATGTTTATTTACTTTTGAGAGAGAGAGAGCACAAGCAGGGGAGGGGCAGAGAGAAGCGGGACAGAGGATCCAAAGTAGGCTCTGGACTGACAGCAGCGAGCCCAATGTGGGGCTTGAACTCATGAACTGTGAGGTCATGACCTGAGCCCCAGTCAGATGCTAAACTGACTGAGCTACCCAGGTGCCCCTCGTTCACACGGTTAAGAACCAGTTCTTAACTGGCCATTAG